CTTTCCCTAACTTATTTGGTCACAGAACCTCTTTATTTTTATTATTTTTTAAAAGTTTTATTTATTTATTATTTTAAAATTTGATCAGGGCGATGCAGAGAGGGAAAGTGAGAAAGCGAACCACCAGGTTTGGGACTTGAATTGCGGTTGGCGCTGTGGGAGTCCAGTGCCTTAACCGCTCTGCCATCTGTTGGCCTCACCTCTTTTGATTTCAGTGGATCATTTGCTAACTCCGAACCACAGAACAATGTGAGAAATACTGGTCTAAATGTAAATTCCCTTCCTAGAAGATCACAACAAAAAGCACAACAGTATTGTTTTTCTAGAACTTCGTACATACAATTCCCTTTCACAACCATTACCTGGTTTGCTAGTTTAGGAAATGCTAACCTAAGCTAACAGAGTTACTCTGAATAAACATTTAATTTAGTATGCTGAGCTTCCCAGCAGTTAAGGTGAGAAATGGAGTCAGGACATGTTTGAGTTTTTCATGTTCGTAATTCAGTTTTAAAGGAAATGGAATGTGAGTAGCCACTACGGAGCCCATTGCTCTGGGGACTGAGAGAGAAGGTGGCATAAACTCTTTTGTCCTGAAGTGCTTAAGTATGGTTTTTCCAGTGTAGGAGGAGGCTCTGCCAGCTGAAGCAAGAAGGACTTCCTGGAGAGTGTGGGCATGTGAGGAGTTTTTTTTTTTTTTTTTTTTTTGGGGGGTTTTTTTTTTTGTGGGCGGCGGGAGAGTTTTTTTCGCTATAGGGCGCGTGCGCTTGCCAGACAGACAGAGAGAGACATAGAGACAGAAAGCAAGAAATCACCCCCCAGGGGGGATGGTCACACCGCAATCCCTTCTCCTCCATTCTCCTCTCGGGATCTTGGGCATGCATGCACACGTGCCCGGCGTGAGTTTTAAGCCACTGGGTCCGAGACGTGAACCGTGGTCGAGTACGTGGGAGTCCAGTGACATAACCATTATGCTAACTGCTGGTTCCCTGGGTATGTGAGGAGTTTAGACAGAGGGGTCGAGAGAGAGAGAGAGAGAGAGAGAGAGAGAGAGGGTATAATAATACCCAGGGAAGCCACGAGCAGAAAAGTAGCTGAGATATCTTGGCAGCTATGAGCAGAATCCTGAGAACATAGGTCCATTTTAAATCCTCACTGGGGTAAGGCGAGAGCTCAATAATAAATATGTGATAAACATCCTCCCATACTCCCCTCAAACTCACGGCTTCATTGTGTGGGCTAAGACTTGTCGTGAACGATTCGAGCAAAAAGGGCCTTTAGTGAACCGCTGATGCAGGCTGCCCATTTTGCAGATGGGAAAACTGCAAAGGCCCCATTGGGGACGAAACCCAGAACTGACTTACCCCCCTGCCCCCAGGAGATGATGTACATCTGGAATGGCTATGCTGTGATTGGGAAGCAGCCGGCACTCACGGATGGAATCCTTGAGATTATCACCAACACCGAAGAGATGCTGGAAAAGGGCCCAGGTGACAACCCTCGGGCGCTTGTGCCTAACGAGCTAGGTCAGGTCTTTCCAGTTGAAGGTTCCCTGTGCTAGAAATGTCCTTCCTCACTTCTGCACCCTAGTAACTGTCCCTTATTGTTCTAGACTGATCTCCGATGTCAGCTCCTTGTCCTCTAAATAGGGTCAAACCTCCTCTGGGCTCCCACGGCCCCTGGACTTCCTTCAGTCAGTCTGGACCTCATTGTGTTGCTATTGTCTCAGTATCTGTCTGTCTCAGATGGGAGTCCCCTGAGGACAGGGGCACATCTGAGTCACCTGAGTGCCCTGGGCCCAGCAGAGTAGGGGTTCTGTGCGTAACTGTTGCAGAAGTGAGCAAACCTGCCTTCCCACACCCTTATTTTCAGAGAATGAGTACTCAGTGGATGACGAGTGCTTGGTGAAACTGTTGAAGGGGCTGTGTCTGAAGTACCTGGGCCGCATGGAGGAGGCTGAGGAGAATTTCAGGAGCATCCCTGCCAAGTAAGTGCCTCCAGGGCTGCTCTTGCTGGGCCTGGGTCTCCTGGGTAGACCTTTCAGGGCGTCTTCATCCTCACACCTGCTGCAGTGGCTCCCCAGCCCACAGACACTCACCACACGTGTACAGACACCAGTACGGGGCATGCCAGCCGTGGATCAGTCAGACTCAGCCCCCACCAGAGGGCCCAGCTTCGGGAGCCCGGCCACACCATTTCTGATGAACACCGCCCCCTGGAGGTCGTGATTCAACCAAACCGCCCTCGTTGGGATGGCAGCAGGGACCCCATCCTGGGTTAATCAGGCTGTGCTCAAGGACCACAGAGATGATAGGAGGTGCCCTGAGGAAGGGTCTAAGCCTAGTGGGAGACACCAGGAAAGGCTTTCCAGGGCTGACACTGAAATTGGAGATTTAGCAGGCGGAGAAAGAGTTTTAAGTGGCGTAGCTGCAGCATGCCCAGGCATTGGAGAAACACCTTAAGTTGGGGTGACAGTGATTCGGACCTGTCCTGCCTGGGTGAAGCTACAGAAAGGGCTGAAGACACAGTAGGAGGGTAGGCTGAGAGGGGCCTGGAGCCTTTGTTCACAAGGCTAAACTTTATCCTGCGGACAGAAGAGACCAGGAATGAGACCAGCCAGGGCAGACTTAGGCCTTCAAGGGATGGCTTTGAGGCAGCATGGAGGGTGGGTCAGAGGGAGCCAGACTAGACACAGGAGAACTTCCCAGTTTAATAAACCATTTAACCTGGGGACAGGGTGTAGACACTGAGACGGGGTGGGCCAAGGATGTGACAGGTGCCTCAGGCTGCTGGGGTAGAGAATGGGAAGGTCGAGCTGTGGCTCTGGCCTCTCGGAGCTAGGTAGTGGGAGCCTTCCTCAACTGGACCCCAAGGACCTCTCAAAGGTAAGGCCAGTGAGCCACTTCCTCCTTTGTTCTGCAGTGAGAAAAAGATTAAATATGACCACTACCTGATCCCAAATGCCCTGCTGGAGCTAGCCCTGCTGTGTATGGAACAAGGCAGAAACGAAGAGGCCATCAAGCTCCTGGAATCTGCCAAGTAAGGCTTGGGTAACCTTCCTCCGTCCTTTGCTCCCTCTGAGCTCAGGAGCAAAGCTCAGAGGCTGTTGGCAAGGACAGACAGTATAGCAATTGAGAGGCCAGGCCCATGTCCCTGGGAGCCCTGCTGTCCCTGGCACAGGAAATCTTCCTTAGTTTACGAAGGAGGAATTGGAATCCCCAAAGAAGGAAATAAGTTGCCCTTACAGAAGCCGTGCACATCCACTGCAGGGCTGGTGAGGACAGGTCTGCAGCCTTCCAGGACAGGGATCCTCTCCTGAACCACCCCTTTGCATTCAGGGACCCTACAGGCAGAGTGGTTCCAGCGGGCCGGATACCAGGGCTGAGGGACCACACACCCTTTCGGTTAATCCTCCCATGGGGCAGGGCTCAACTCTACCTTCTGACATGAATAGGAATTTAAACCTCTTAAAACCTTTCTTGGCTGGGACAGGGAGACAGCAGGTAGGGAGACGGGTCACAGCTCAGATGAAAGGAAAAGGACGCCCTGGAGCCAGCAGCCTCATGTGTCTGATTCTCTCTGCCCACTTCCAGGCAAAACTACAAGAACTATTCCATGGAGTCAAGGACACATTTTCGAATCCAGGCAGCCACACTCCAAGCCAAGTCTTCCCTAGGGAACGTCAGCAGACCCCTGGTCTCATCTGTGTCCTTGTAGATTTGCGCACCACTCCCGAGCTGGAAGACGAGCAGAGACAACTGAACAAAGCTCCTGGAAACATTTCAAAAGATCCCCTCCCCCTGCCCTGCCCTGCCTTTGGGGTCCACCAGCGCTCCAGTGGGATGGCACGACCTGGGTATCCATGCCAAAGCAAAGCTGGCATTTTCACCAGTGTGGTCAAGGGCCTTTGCCAAGGGTAGAACAGGTGGAGGCCTCTGCCTGCCCTCTCACACATACGGGTACTCGTTTTTCACTGTGATGCTTAAGAGAATGTATGAACAGTTTACATTTTCCTTAGAAATACATTGATGGATCAGAGTTGGCTTTAAGAAAATACCAACAACCCCTGTAAATCTTTGTTTTCACCCATCCTGACCCAAAGGTAAATCTCTCTATCTGATGCCAAAGACCAAATTGCTTTTCCAATTTCGGCAAGGTCTTTGTTTCTGGGGGTGGGAAGGCCCTTCTCTCAGAGGCCCTGGGGAAAGCCTGGGAGACAGGCTTCCGGGCTTGCGGGGTGGTGAGCACAGAAGCTGCACACAGATACCCACTGCCTGGCTTCCCACACTTGATGTAACTTTCTGATTTAAAAATCAAGCAAAATCTTTTTAATGAGAGAACATTTGAGTGCATCTATAGAAAATTATGTTTCCACCAGTAGGGAAGGGAGAAAGCCTGACAAAGGAAGTGTGTGGCCCTTTCCATGCCAAAACCAGGAAGTCTAGGGGATCGGGGTAGGGGAGGCGCTCAGAAACCGTCTGCGTCCTCACTGTTTGCCAGGCTGAAGCCATCGGGAATCGTTTATGAAACATGAAAATCTCCTGTCCTTCAAGATGCATTATTTCCTGACAGGATTTTTCTTAGAAATAGAATGGTTATTATGGCCTGTTGTATAGGTTTTAGATTTTTTTCAGTTAAAAGAAATTATTTAAATAATAAAATTTATACACTTAAGAGATCATGCAACATCTATTTCAATAAAATATGTGTTGCTTGAATTCTGGGTCAGGGTGGAAAGTCTTGATGAGAAAACACATGACTCAGGACCAGCAGGTGGCATGGTGGTTAAGTCGTTGGACTCCCATGTAGAATACCACAGTTCAAGTCTCAGACCCGGCAACTGAAAACTCACGTCAGGCACGTATGCACACGAGCCCAAAATCCCAAGAAGAGAATGGAGAAGAGGGGATTGTGCTGTGACCATCCCCCCGGGGGGTGATTCTGCATTCTGTCTCTGTCTCTCCAGGGAGCACACATACCCTATAGCAAAATACCTCTCAAAACAAAAACACATGGCCCATGTATGTATTATTTGGACAATGCGGTGTTTTAAATCTTTTGAGTAAGTTACCAACATTTAAAAAAATTTTGCAAATGATGGTGCCCTTAACTAAAAAAAAAAAAAAAAAAAAATCTGGCCATATAGAACCTCATTCCCACAAGGCAGCTCTCAGCTGGAGCCAAGTAGAGACTTAGCCTACCTTTCTGGCCTTGAAAAGCATCCGAATTTGCAACCTTTGGGACCATTACATTGAGAACCAGGTTCAGTAACTGATACCAAGTTTTACCACTCACATTCTAACATCGGCACCCCCTCTGAAATCGCGAGTAGTGTACACTACTCACTGTGAAACGGGGCTCCCTGAACGATTTAATGCAGTTTCTGTAAGAGAAGCAGCACGGCCCACTGTTGCAGCCTTCAGCACTGCTGTATTTAGCAAGTGCCTTTAAGCATCTGCCGAGGGCTGGGTTAATATATTTCATATGTGGTCAGAGAGCCTTCTGTTGGTGATGGGGATGATGTCATGGGTTTAGGTAAGGCATATTCTTATTTGGGGCAGGGGGTGGGATGGGGAAGCAACAGCAGCAAAAACCTGCATCTAGGATCTCCTTTTGCACTGAGTATGCAGAGTAGAAATGCTTTGGAAAAATAATTTGTTAAAACTAGTCAGAGAGCAAGCTTGTGCAAGCTATCTTTTCCCCAAAGCTTGGATGTTGGGAGACCAACCTGTCTGTAGGCTGTTAGGCAGGACAGGGTGAGAGGCGGAATTAGAGACAGACTGCTGGCTTCCCTGCATACTGAAAGCTGCCCATTACTGTCAAAGCAGCACAGGTCACAGGATAGCAGAATTGAAAACTTTACCTCAGGACCAGCAGTTAGCGTGATGACTATGTCGCTGAACTCCCATGTAGCCGACTGCGGTTTGAGTTCTGAACCCGGTGACTTGGACTCACGCCAGACGTGTGTGTGTGTGTGTGAGTGTCCAAGATCCCAAGAGGAGAAAGGATTGTGGTGTGGCCATCCCAGTTGGTGGGTGATTTCTTACTTTCTATCTGTCTTTGTCTTTTTGGCGAGTGCATGCGCCCTATAGCCAAACAAACAAAAAACTTTATCTCAACATTCATTTCAGGTGTTTTTGCTTTTATTTATTTATTTTTTTAAGAGAGATCTTTGCTATGGGGTGTATGTGCTCGCAAGAGACAGAGACTTATAGAAAGTGAGAAATCACCCACTGGGTGAGTGGCCATGCAGCAATTCCTTCTTTATTCTTCTCTCAGTATTTTGGGCACACACACACACACACACACACACACACCCAATGTGAGTTTCAAGCTACCAGGACTTAAACCGCGGTCAGCCATGTGGGAGTCTGGCACCCCAATCACTATGCCACCTGCTGGCCCTGGTGTCTTGCTTTTATTTAAAATTTCTTTTAAGAGAGATTTTTACTACAGGGCACATGTGCCTACTGAAGACAGAGAGAGAGGAAGTGAGAAATCACTCCCCAAGGGGTTGGCCATGCCCCAATTCCCCACAATCCCTTCTCCTCCATGCTTCTCTTGGAATTTTGGGCACACACACACGTGCGACTGGCCTGAGTTTCAAGCCACCAGGTCTCACATTTGAACCATGGTTGGCCATGTGGGAGTCTAGTGCCTTAACACCACCTGCCGGCCCCTATTTAAACATTTTACATCGGGATAGTCTCCACGTCATTGTTTGCTGCCATTGATTGCATTAATTAGCCTGTGTCACTTTTACCTCTGCTTGCAGGCCAGCTGATAAGACAGATGGGGGAGGTTGCCTCCTTTAATCCCACCTGCAGCTTCTGAGATAGTCTATCAAAAATGCTTATGTGCGGGAAACAGCAGGTGGCATGGTGAAGGCGCTGGACACTCCCACATGGCTGATCACGGTTCAAGTCCTGGACCTGGTGGCTTCCTTTGCAACTTTCCCTCTCTCACTCTTTGTGTTACTCTCTGGTCAAATTAAAATAAATGAATGAATAAATAAAATTAAATAATTCTTTTAAAAATTTACATGGAGGGACCAGCAGGTGGCGTGGTGGTTAAGGCTCTGGACACTCCCACATGGCTGACCAGGGTTCAAGTCCTGAATCTGGTGGCTTGCTTTCTTACTTTCTCTCTCACTCTCACCCTCTGTCTCTCTCTGGTCAAATTAAGAAATAAATGAATGAATACATAAATAAATAAAATAAATAATTATTTTAAAAAATTAAAAAAGAATTTACATGGAGAGCAGAAATGCTGTTTCTAATGACACTGTATCCTTATGTAAGAGTCTTGGAAGGCAAAGAATTCTGTAACGGGCTTCTTGGTGTCTTTTTTTTTTTTCTTTTTTTTTTAGGGGTTTTTTTTTTTGTTATAGGGCGCATGCACTCGCCAGACAGAGACAGACAGACAGCGAGAAATCACCCCCTTGGGGGGATGGCCACACCGCAGTCCCTTCTCCTCCGTTCTCCTCTCAGAATCTTGGGCACGCACGCACATGCGCCCGGCATGAGTTTTAAGCCTCCGGGTCCGGGATGTGAACTGTGGTCAACTACATGGGAGTTCAGCGACATAGCCATTATGCTAACTGCTGGTCCCGGTGTCTTCTTTGAGTCATTTCTGGTTACTGTTTCTCTGACAGTCCAGAACTTCCTGGCTCATGGCGCATCTGCCCCGGAGAAGAGCTCACCAGGTGGAGAGTTCTGGAAATGAGGAGACTGGAATTCTAGCCTCAACTTTGCCACTAGTGATTTTCAGAGTGACTTTGGGCAAGTCATGGATTCTGCCCTCAACAGTCCTGATTCTAAGTGGTTGAGTTTGTTTCTGATTTTTCATCTGCAGAATAAAGTAACACAACCTCCCTGCCTTTCCATCAAAGCACCGTGTCCCCAAGAGGTTCAGCCAGAAGTAGACTTCCTTAACTGAGGCTTTATAGCAGCCAGGACACCCAGAGAGCAAGTAATCCTCACTTAAAGCCTAACCCTGTTGTAGCAACCATGTAACAGGATCCGAACAGGCCCTTGGCAACAGAGAGCCTACCTCAGCCTGTCACTTGTCACGGGCCCTGGACTGGCGGTGTGGCCTCTGGCAGTGTGCTGGTCCCTATCAGCTCTCCCACATGTTGGCAGGTTTTCCTGTACCTTATCTCGAGAGTCAGAACAGGAGTGTTTCCAAGACAGTTATCGTCATTCGCAGCAAAAAGCAACAACCTGATATCAAAGCCAGAACCTTAAAAGGCCAACGCCAATCCAAGACTTGGCTGAGGGCCAGGCGAGCAATTCCTAGCAACTGAAGGTTGCACTAGGAGGTTTTCAGAAGTCTCAAGGGAGACTCAGATCCAGCCATCTTTCTCTGGAGATGCTTCCAAATTAATTTCTTCCATGATGACAGGGCATCAACAGCATCCTTGTTGTCTGCTTGCAATTCAAAGCCTAGCAGTGCCCTTTCAGCCGCTGTTTACTTAAGCATTATCAACCTCATTCAGTAAATGAGAGGTGCTTGGGTTCTGAAATCTGAAAGCAGCAAATGGGAACTTCACATGGCTACTCTGTGATGCAGCTTTCTAAGTGAGAAAGGGGTCTTTCTGCTGGGCTTAGCACAGGTCCTTGGGAATCCTGTGTGAAGTTCATTACCAACCAGCAGGGCAAGTCCAGGAACAAGAAACCTCATTTGGAGACTGGAAAAATCTATTAATAAATGAGCAATCTAGGCGTTGCTTCCACTGCATAAAGTCAACTCTTAGGTGATGAGATGTAATAGAGCCCTTTGGGAAGCCATACAATTAATTATTGAAGGTCTCCATGAACTGCTAAAAGTTGACAAGTCCTTTTTTTTTTCTTTATTTTTGAGAGGTTTTTGCTATAGGGCGCGTGCACTCGCCAGACAGACGGAGAGAGACAGAGAGACAGAAAGCGAGAAATCACCCTCCAGGGGGGATGGACACACCACAATCCCTTATCCTCCATTTCTCCTCCATTCTCCTCTTGGGATCTTGGGCACGCACGCACACACACCCGGCATGAGTTTTAAGCCACTGGGTCCGGGACACGAACCGCGGTTGACCACGTGGGAGTCCAGCGACATAGCCATTACGCCAACTGCTGGTCCCAAAAGTTTACAAGTTTAATCAAAGACGTTGCAGCTAACATCTCACAAATGATCGAATTCCATTTTTTTTCCTTCACGTTAACAAACACTTCAGACACCAACTATATGTTCTAGAAGAAAAAGCAAATAGCTGGCAGTTGCTATTCCAAGTACTTCCCAGTTTCTGTGATCCTCAAAACTGTCCATTAATTAGCTTTTATTTTTATAGTCTGTTGTAGGATGCACACGCTCACCAGAGAGAGAGGGAGAGAAAGTGAGCACCGGTACGATGACCACACAGCAATACGTTCTCCTCCCCTCCCCTCTTGCTATTTGGTGCACAGCACACACAGGCATCTGGCCTATCTTTCAAGCTGCAGGGTGCAGGACTCAAACCAGTCAGCCAACCATGTGGGACCCAGCCAATATGCCACCTGACTGGCTTTGAAGTAGGAGCGTTTGTTGCTGGTTTATAGATGAAAAAACTGAAACACAGTTTAAATAATTTGCCTCTCCTC